GAAAGCAACAATACTTTATCCTCCTGTGAAATTTCTGTGAATGAGCCAAGGTAATGGCATATCAAAGCCCTCACCTGGAAGCATCCTTGCCTCAATGTGTGGGTCCCCAGGTGTTTGGCCTACAACTCTCAGAAATCCCAGCCAGTTTACCAGCTGTTAGGATTTCTGGGAGTTGAAGGCCAAAACATTTGGGGATGCACAGGTTGAGCACCACCGATCTACAGTGGAAGCATTTGTGTGTATATGTGCCTTCAAGTCACTTATGGGTTTATAGATGTCATAGTGTTTTCTTAGGCAAGGAACGTACCTGATGATTAAATTGTTCAGCACCATTACAATGTTCCAGCTACTTAACAAAGCCTTATACACTAGAAATTGCTGCCAGAAGTTACTCCAGCTTTTACTTCACTGTGTACAAGGGAAGATGATACTTTGTGACAAAGAGGCACTCATGAATTATTTATTGGTGTGAAAGACGGGGGGGGGGGGGGGGGGGGGGTTGGAGGAGGCAAGGGAATGATGCATCCTTCCTTGTTTAGCCTCAGGCCAGAACCTGTCATGTGGATTTCAACACAGAATTTTTAGCTGGTCAATCATTATCTGTCCACAGAGTGATGAATGACAGGTTTCCTGACTTTCCTTGCTGTACCCAGCCTCATCAACTTGCACTCTCTCTCTCTCTCTCTCTCTCTCGGGGACATTCACACTTGATGTTCTTCTTACATAGAAATTATCTCTCCGCTGTACCGGGGTGGTGGGGCTGGGAGAGTAGTTGGCACTTCTAAATGGAATTCAACAGTATCTCTTCTGCCAGAAGTACACAGGTCAGGAAGGCAATATGTGCAGTGTGTTGATTATCACCATGTAGGAAAAACGCAGCATACTAAACAGCTCTCAGTATGTGTACCTGGAAGTGAAAAGATGTATCTTTTTAAAACATATGAATGAATAACAGCCATGCTCTTCAGAGGGCACAGCATTTCTCTCTGCTCCTGTGGTATATTGCTAGAGCTGAGCAAAAACGGGATTATCGGTGAAATCTGGCCACCTTCATGCTTATATGAATAGATGCATATTTTCCCTCTTTTGATTCATAGGGTTTAGTTTAGCATTGTACTTGAATTTGTCAACCTTTCCTTCCATGGTCCCCATGTTAGGCAAAGCCAGATAGTTGCCTCTAGAGCAGTGGTTCTCAACCTGGGATCCCCAGATGTTTTTGGCCTACAACTCCCAGAAATCCCAGACAGTTTACCAGCTGTTAGGATTTATGGGAGTAGAAGGCCAAAAACATCTGGGGGCCTCAGGTTGAGAACCACTGCTCTAGAAGCCAATGTTGTCCTTTTTTGCCTATCTGCTCACTTGCCCTTCCTCTCTGGGTGCCATTCAACCGTTCTCCATGGCCTCAGGTGTGGTCAGATGAAAGTCACTTTCTTGTTATCTATGTTGGATCAAATTCAGTTGGCAGGTTGGAGTGGTAGGAGATGGGAGAACATCTGTATTTCAATATCAGGAATATGAATGGAAAATGTTTCTTGTATCTCATATGGCATCTCTGATCTTAAAAAGTCAGTTTTGGATCTGTGCTTATAAAGGTAGCCCCTCTTCCCAGTCACTCCAGTATTTCCACACCTTCACTTCAGTTCCTGGATGCCAGTTCTATCCTACCCAGACCTGAATGGAACCCTTCCTGACTATCCCTTCTACCTATGGCAAAATCCCCAGCCCTGGGAGCTTCAACCTCTGGACCTGTGGGGTCTTGGCCCTGAAAAATAAACAATCTCTTATAAAATATAGTACATCCCCTGTATCTGCTGGAGATACTTGACTGGACTTTGCATGGATATGCAAAACTATGGGCAATATTAAACCCAATTGATGTCAGGCTCAAAAATACCATATAGCAGAATTTTCCAAACTGTGTATCATGATGTTAATGTGCCAGCTGCAGTTTGTAGGTGTGTCACATGAACATAATGAGAAACCTCTGAGTTTGGATGGCCATCTGTCAAGAATACTTTGTGCTTCTCCTGCATTGTAGGGTGTTGGGCTAGATGGCTCATGTGGCCTCTTCCAACTCTATGATTCTTTAAGTTTTATGTTAAATAAGCAATAAATCATACAATTAAAAACATATAAATGAAAGATTGCCATGAGATATGTGGTCTCTTGATGCATTTTGTTATTAAAATGTACAGATTTGTCCCTATCTATATATATATAAATGCTCTGTTTGTTTTGAGTGACATCATGACTCAAAATTTGCAGGACAATTGCCACCAAATTTGGCCACAAGACTACTAACCCAAAGAATGACCATCACTCAAAAAATTAATTTTGTCATTTGGGAGTTGTAGTTGCTGGGATTTATAGTTAACCTACAATCAAAGAGCATTTTAAACTCCACCAACGATAGAATTGAACCAAACTGGGCACACAGGACTCCCATGACCAACAGAAAATACTAGAAGGGTTTGGCCTTGACCTTGGGTTTTGGAGTTGTAGTTCACTTACATCCAGAGAGCACTGTGGACTCAAACAATGAAGGATCTAGACTAAATTTGACACAAATACTCCATATGCCCAAATATGAACACAGATGGAGTTTGGGGAAAATAGACCTTGACATTTGGGAGTTATAGTTACTGGGATTTATAGAAGAACATTCTGAAACCCACCAACAACAGAATTGGGCCAAACTTCCCACACAGAACCCCCATGATTAATAGAAAATACTGTGTTTTCTGGTGGTCTTTGGTGACCCTTCTGACACCACCTCATGACACCCCCCCCCCCCCAGGACTCGATGGCCTTAAGGCCGGTTGAGAAATGCTGCCTTAAGTCCATCGAGTCCAACTCCCTTCACCAGGGTAAGAAAACATAATCAAAGACCTCCTGGCAAAGAGCCATCCAGCCATAGATATAGATAGATATTTATGATTCACATACACACATATATGTATATGACAGATATAGCATCATAGATTTGAAAGGGACCCCTAAAGGACAATTATATGTTGCATGTTGCAGAGTAGGCAAACCACACAGTCTCTACATCAACACCAACAAAGAAACAACACGAAATACTCTTTACCTAAAAAATAAAGAAATTACATATAATAGAAACCAACACTTTTCTCATTATTTTATTTTTCAGATTACCAAACTGGGCCACAGCAATGTGTGGCAGGGGATGGCTAGTCTCTTATAAGGGGTTGCTTTAACCTCCAGTTTGCTAATAAGACTGAATTTCTCTGTCACAAAATAATGCATGTCTAAATTGTGTGTCACCAACGTGACATGTTTGGAAAGCTCTGCCATAGAATTGTGTTGGAGGAACTGGAAAAGGCTTCACCTTGACATTAAGTTAGTCATGTTCAACTCTGGGGGGATGTAGATGGATGGAGTGCTGTTATCTTCCTGCAGAAGTGGTACTTATTGATCTACTCACATTTGTGTGTTTTCAAACTGGTAGGTTGGCAGAAGCTGGACCTAACAGCAGGAGCTCACCCCACTCCCTGGATTCAAAACACTGACCTGTTGGTCACCAAGTTCAGCAGCTCAGCAGTTTAACCCACTGTGCCATGGGGGCTTGGAAAATGCTTAAAGGACATATTTTGTCAGAGGTGGATAAACAAAACCATGGATGTGGGGAAAAGGGGGGGGGTGTTTTAAATGTTGTTGTCTGGAGGGAACAGAGAGGAGCTCTAATCTCTTTTGTCAAATCCCAGCAAATCCAAGACTCCTACAAGCACCAGCATTTAGGAATCTGGAGTGTTGTGTAGTTTCCGGGCTCCAGTGATGCTGGTGTGAAAGCCTTTGACAATACAATTGGGAGCCTGGTTCAGCATGGGAAAGGACAGCCTACACCTTGAGACCAGAACTCTTAGGCCCTCTCAGGAGCATGAGGCCAACATTAGGTTTGTCGGGAGTGAGGAGCACGCAGGCACCCCGCCGTCTTGCCTCCACCAAAGGGTTAAACAGACGTGCCTGAGCTGTCGGAGGGAAAAGGGGGGGGGGAGATAACACTCTCTCCTGCTGTCAGTAGCGCCCGAGTTTTCTTTGTTGCCGCCTATTTGTGGAAGGATCTCTTCTGAGCGAATCTTGCCACATATTACACAGCAATCCCCCCCCCCCCGCCTCGCCTCCACCCTGCCCTACCCCTACCCCCAACTCCCCCATTCATTCACTCTCACTTCTCCGGTATCCTTCCTCTCGCTTTCTATCTACCTTCTTTCTCCTTCTCTCACTTCCACCCCCCTCCCTTCTGTCTCTCTCCTTCCTTCCTTCCCTCCTTCCTTCTCTCTTCTCCCCTCCCCCCCCCCCCCCCGGACGCGAGACACTCCCAGGCAATCCACGGAACAACTCAGACGGAGAGAGAGAGAGAGAGAGACAAAGGAGCCGCTTTGACGTGTATTTATTTATTAATTTATTTATGATGCCCCTTCCTCTCCCCCCTTCACCCCCCCCCCCACTTGCGGAGCTTGTTTTGTCTGCCTCGCCTTCCCTTTGGGGCTTGAAAAGGGAAAGTCGCCCCCTCCCTACTCTGAGAGAGAGAGAGAGAGAGAGAGCGGGGAAGGGATGGAGGCCAGGATTACGAGTCCGGGTTCCGATTAGGATCATGTGTCTTTCTTCCTTTGGCTTTTCTTCTGGCGGCGGAGAAGCCCGGGATAGGAGAGCAAGGCATTGCATGGGGGTGGGGGGGGGGAGGAAGAAGGGGGCGCAGGGGGGCGGCTGTGGCGGGGCCCTGGTCTTCCCCGCTGGTCTTCCCCATCCCGGTGCCGGGCGAGGAAGTGGCCAGCCCACCAGCCAAGGGGCCAGCGCTGGAATCCCGCCGGGGAAAGAAGGGAGGGGAGGGGAGGGGAGGGGCGGCACAGGTGGAAAAAGGGGCGGTGGCTGCGAAGAAGAAAAGGGGGCGGGGCACGGGGCGGGGCCCAGCCCCTGCCTGCTTCCTTGCCCGGGGGCGTGGCTATGCAAATCCAAAGCAGGGGAAGCCAATTGACTGAATAGAGTTTGGGTGCTCAATGTGAGAGAGGGGCGGCTGGGGGAGAGTGGCGGGGAGGGTGGCACTGGCCGCGTCTCCCTCTTTTCCAGGATGCCACATTAATTCCTATTATTATTATTATCATTACTATCATTCCACCCTCTCTCCTTCCTTCCTTCGCTCCCTCCTCTTTTTGTTTCCTCCCCTGCCTGCGGTGCCGTCCAGCGCCCTGCCAGCGCCAACTTCCAAACGCGGAACAGGAGGAGGAGGAGGAGGAGAGCGCCTTTGGACGGCCGGAGAAGCGGCGGAAAGTCAAGGGGTCCCTCTGGTGCCTCACTTCTTGCCTCCCTCCCGCTTGGGCATCGCTCGCCTCTATGGATTGGCGGAGAGATCTCCTCGGGTCCTGACTCCCGAACCCAGGGTCGCCACGCTGCCTGCGCCGGGGGGCGGGAGGCCGGGTGGACGGCAGGGAGAGCCAGGCCCGAAGGGGCTGCCCCTGAGCGGGCCCCGCGCCCCGTCCTCTTCGCCCGCGGAGTGGGACGCCCGCAAGGGCTCCGCGCAGCCCCGCCGCCCAGCTGAGAAGACACAGGCCCTCCCCTCTCCGCTGGGGAGACCCTCCAAGAGGCCAGCGCCCGCCCCGTCTGGGATCCCCACCGGAAAGGTATGTGTGTGCTAAGAGCACAATCCTCCCTGTATTGTCAAAGACTTTCATGGCCGGAATCACTGGGTCGTTGTAGGTTTTTCGGGCTGTTTGGCCATGTTCTAGAAGCATTCTCTCCTGACGTTTCGCCTGCATCTGTGGCAGGCATCCTCCGAGGTTGTGAGGTCCTCCCTCCCTCCTTTCCTTCCTTCTTCCTCTCCCTCCTTTCCTTCCTCGGTTCTTCCTCTCCTTTCTATTTTTCCAATCCCTTCCTTCTTTTTCTTTCCCTCTTTTTTGTCTCCTTCATTCTTTCTGTCCCACCTTTCCTCCTTAACTCCCCCTCCTTTCCCCGTTCCTCCGTTTTCTCTCCCCTTCCCTCCCTCCTTTTCCCCTTCCGTCTTTCCTTCCTCTCCTTCTTTTTCTTCTTCCATCCCTTCGTTCTTTTTCTTTCCCTTCTTTTTTACTTTTCTTCTTCATTCCTTCTGTCCCACCTTTCCTCCTTAACTTCCGTCCATCCTTTTCCCTTTCTCTCCCCCCCCCCCTTTCCCCTTCCTTCGTTCCTTCCTCGGTTCTTCCTCTCCTTCTTTCTCTTCTTCTATTCTTTCGTGCTTTTTCCTTCCCTCCTTTTTTCTTACTTCTCTCCTTCCATTCCTTCTGTCCCACCTTTCCTCCCTAACTCCCCTCCCTTTTCTCTCCCTCCTTTCCCCCTGCCTACCTTCCTCCTCTCCTCCTCCCATTCCTTCCTTCCTTCACCCCCTACATCGCGCTCCGGAATCAATGGGGAGGCGCCGCTTCTTAGGAGCGGATCTCCGCCGCTCTTGCAAAGGTCGCCCCACAGGGGAAAGGCGGCGGCGATGTGATGTGCCCGTGCCCTTTTCCCTTCCTCCGTCAGAGGCCGGGGCCACACTCCTCCTTCGCTCCCTCTTTGCCCTTTGAACGCGGAGCCGGGCGTGTGTGTGCATGAGTGTCTGTGTGCGAAACAGAAAGAAGCGGGGAGAGGAAGGATCACGGCCGAAAGATCCGAGGCGGGCGGAGCGGAGCAGGGGCGGGAGGCAGCAAACTTTCCAGCTTCAGCAGCGCCGGATTCGGAAAGTTGACTTGAGCCGCCGTCCCGGGCAAGGGAGGGAGGCGGAAATAATTCCCATGTCTTTGGGGGGGGGGGGGAGTTTCCATAGGCACCCCTCCCCCTGTTCTAGTTAGAAGCTTTACGAGGGTGCAGGGTGTGTGTGTGTGTGAAGAGATGCCTTCAATTTACGAGAAACCAAAAGGAGCGCGTCCGGGGATCACTTTGGGTCCACCCCGCGGGGGGTTTCTGAAGTCGAATCGAAGGGAGAGGCGTGTGTGTGTGTGTGTGCGCGCGCGCGCTCGCGTGTGAAGGGGATCCAGGTTTAAAGTGGCAGCGGGCTGGGCGGAGAGAGGGACCGAACCACAATCCTAGCACTTCATCACATTAGAGAATGAATCCACTTGAAATCCACTTTCTGCCTCCTGCAGAATTCTGGGGTTTGCAGTTTAGTGAGGCTGTTAAAGTCTCCTCCCTAAACTACAAACCCCAGAATTCTGCAGGAGGCAGCAACCGGATTTCAAGTGGATTCGTTCTCTAGTGTGAGGAGGTCTCTAGAGTTGGAAGAGGCCACTTGGGCCAGCTAGTTCCACGCGTCCTTCCATGAAGGAAAAACAGAATCAGATGGCCATCCGGCCTCTCTTTAAAAGCCTCCAAGGAAGGCGCTTCCATCACACTCCGAGAGGGCAGAGTTCCATGGATGAAGGGAAACCTGGTTTTCTTTTCTTTTCTTTGGCTGCAAGGAGCAAAAGCGGCCTCTCCGTAGTAGAGCCTACCTGGGGCATTCAGTTCGTTCTCTTGAAAAGATTTCCACACTGACTCGCGCGCCTCCCGGAGTCGCCTCTGAGTCTCGGGCCCCGTCTACACGGCCATATGTTGAAGTTAAGTGTTCATTGTGTATGGGGAGGGGGCGAGGGACGCTAACTCCGGAATGTGGGGTATTTTAGATGGAAACCCTAGTTTGCAACACAAAGGAAAAGTTCTCACGGGGATTTCTTGGCAAGAATCATAGAATTGTTGAGTTGGAAGAGACCTCGTGGGCCATCCAGTTCAACCCCCTGCAGGAAAATCGCATTCAAAGCCCACCCACCCACACAGATGACCATCTAGCCTCTGTTTAAAGGCCTCCAAAGAAGGAGCCTCCCCCACCCTCCGGAGCAGAGAGTTCCACTGCTGAACAGCTCTCACAATTAGGAAGTTTTTCCTCCTTGTTCAGGTGGAATCTCCTTTCCTGTCGAGTTCTTCAGGAGGGAATGTTGCCTTGGCTTTCCTTTGAGGTTGAATGACTGTGGTTTGCCCAAGGTCACTCGGTGGTTTCCGTGGCTGAGCTGGGGATTCGAACCTTGGCCTCCCGAGTCATAGGATGCTTCCACGCCAGAATTAATTCCGTTTGACACCACTTTAACTATTATTGAAACCTAGGATTTGTAGTTGGGTGAGGCATCAGTACTCTTTGGCAGAGAAGGCTCAAGACCCTGTAAAACTACAATCTCCAGGATGCATTGTCGAAGGCTTTCAAGGCCTAGGTTGCTGTGAGTTCCCCGGGCTGTCTGGCCAAGTTCCAGAAGCATTCTCTCCTGACGTTTCACCCACATCTCTGGCTGGCATCCTCAGAGGTTGTGAGGTCTGTTGGAAACTAGGCAAGTGGGATTTATAGATCTGTGAACTATCCAGGGTGGGAGAAAGAACTCTTGTCTGCTTGAGGCAAGTATGAATGTTGCAATGGACCACCTTGATTAGCATTGAATAGCCTTGCAGCTTCAAAGTCTGGCTGCTTGCTGCTTGAGGGGAATCCTTAGTTGGGAATTGATTAGCTGGCTCTGATTGTCTCTTGTCTGGAATTCCCCTGTTTTTGAGTTCTTTATTTACTGTCCTGATTTTAGAGTTTTTAAAATACAGGTAGCCCGATTTTGTCCCTAGGATGTCATAGCATTGGGCTAAGAATGCTCAGTTCAAGCTAAAAGTTCCCTGACCGAATGCTATGAAATGTTGGGGGGGTTGTAGTTTTGCAAAGTCTCTGCCAAAGAGGGCTGGGGCCTCACCAAACGACAGCTTTCGGGACTCGGTAACCTTAAGCCATGCTAAAGTGGTGCCTAACTGTATGGATCCTGCAGTGTAGATGCCCCCTCTTCCTCGGGGTTCTCCTCCTCCTCCTCCTCCTCCTTCTGTGGCATGGCTCGCTTCCCTCCTTCCTCCTCCTGGCTGAGTCAGCCGAGTCCCGGCCAAGGTCTCGCTTGCTTTCCCTTTCCCCTCTCTTTTTCTCCCCACGCCGCGCGGGGCTCCGCTCTCCTGCCCACTCCAGGCCCGCGGCCAAAGTTGCAACTAGCGAGCTTTCTGAGCCAGAAGCGGGAATGGATTCAAGAACAAGAGTGGACTCTTCTCAAAGGGATTGTACTCCTACCTCAGGCCTGGGCCAACTTGGGCCCTCCAGGGGTTTTGGACTCCAAATGCCACCATTCCTAACAGCCCCAGGCCCCTTCCTTTTTCCCAAGCGGCTGAGGAGGAAAAGGAAGGGGCCTGAGGCTGTTAGGAATGGTGGGAGTTGGAGTCCAAAACCCCTGGAGGGCCCAAGTTGGCCCATACCTGTCCTACCCTGTGAGCTTTAAGTGAGTCAGCTGGATGCATAAGGTGGAAATGAAAAGAGCCCATTTGTGACACCCACCTCCCATGCTGCTTTCCTCTTACAACAATGAAAACAAAATAAAAAATACAGTCAGGTCACCCTTATTGCCCTTGTGGGCCCTCAAGTCATTTCTGCCTTTTGGCAACCCTAAGGGGGACCTAATATGACATTTTGAGTGGCCTTGTGACTCAGCCAAGGCCACTCAGTGGGTGTCTACATTGTTTTATGAAGGTGGTGAGCCACTTTGGGTCTCAATCAAAAGAAAAAAGCAGGGTGTAAATACACTAATGCTTATTGTGGGCTATGTAGGAAATCAAAGGAGAGTCCTCATCCAATGCTCAAATCACTACACCAGCTCTTTTTTCATCAGTAGTAGTAGTAGTAGTAGTAGTAGTAATAGGTAGATATTAATTAGTTTTCTGTGGAGCCCCCGGTGGTGCAATGGGTTAAACCCTCATGCCGGCAGAATGCTGACCAAAAGGTTGGTGGTTCGAATCAGGGAGCAGGGTGAGCTCCCGCCTGTCAGCTCCAGCTTCTCATACAGGGACATACGAGAAGCCTCCCACAGGATGGTAAAATATCCAGGCATCCAGCTCTGACCTAAAGTGATGTAGAAATGGAAAAGATAATCCAGTTTTTAAAAGCAGATGAAAAATCATAGGGGGGAAGAAACATTGAAAACCTATTTTGAAGAAACAAAAGGCCACCATGGATGCCCAAAGCACAACAGAGATTGACATCTGGGGGTGTCATGTTTGACGGTGGGTTCACTTGGCTTCTCAGGATTGGGGTGAGGTGTAGGAGGGCTTCTGATGAAAATCTCGGACTGGGGGCAAGTCTCGTAAAATATCCCCCACCAACATAATAGGCATGACATCTTGTGCAGTCTTTTCAACATCTTCACATCCTTGCAAGCCTTGTTCTCTCCTGACTGGGAAAGAATAGGTAGTGCTCCTTTTGAAAATGGTGTGCAGTGTGTGTGTGAATCTTATGACATGAATCCCCTTATTAAAGACACTCTGTCAAAACTTCCCCAGTTATCCTTGAGGAGAGGCAGATAAAACAAGTAAAAAGCATTTATTAGTAGTAATATTATTGCTGGGATACGTTATTAGTAAGTTTTTTAAAAGAAAAAAATCAATTAATCAAACTGAGTAATCAACTAAACATTGTAGCTGTAATGAAAACGCAGGAGGAGGCCAGTATAAGCCAGCAGGTGGCTGCTTTCCTGCTCTACCCATACCCACTTCTCTTATGGATGGCAGAAGACACAATTTTCACAAATGAGATTGAAATCATTGCGGAAGAAGGGATATTTTGATGTGCAAGGTTTAT